TCCCCTTCACCGCCCAGCCCTCGCCCACCCTCGCCTTCACCACCCAGCCCTCCTCCGCCATCTCCACTGCGAAGCCCCCACCGCCATCTCCTTCACCGCCAAGCCCTTCACCGCCATCCCCTTTACCGCCAAGCCCTCGCCCACCCTCGCCTTTACCACCCAGCTCTCCACCGCCATCTCCTTTACCGCCCAGCCCTCGCCCGCCCTCTCCTTCACCGCCCAGCCTCCACCGCCATCCCCTTCACCGCCAAGCCCTCGCTCACCCTTGCGTTCACCACCCAGCCCTCCATCGCCATCTCCTGCACCGCCCAGCCCTCGCTCACCCTTGCCTACACCACCCAGCCCTCCACCGCCATCTCCCTTCACTGCCAAGCCCTTCGCCCACCCTCGCCTTCACCACCAAGCCCTCCACCGCCATCTCCTGCACCGCCCAGCCCTTCGCCCACCCTCGCCTTCACCGCCCAGCCCTCCACCGCCATCTCCTTCACCGCCAAGTCCTCCACCGCCATCTCCGTCACCGCCAAGCCCCCACCGCCATCTCCTTCACCGCCCACCCCTCGCCCACCCTCCCCTTTACCACCCAGCGCTCCACCGCCATCTCCTTCACCGACAGTCCTCCACCACCATCTCCGTCACCGCCAAGCCCCCACCGCCATCTCCTTCACCGCCAAGCCCTCGCCCACCCTCGCCTTTACCACCCAGCCCTCCACCGCCATCTCCTTCACCGCCAAGCCCTTCACCACCATCGCCTTCACGGCCAAGCCCTCTACCGCCATCGCCTACTCCAGCCAGCCCTCGCCCTCCATCGCCTTTACCACCCAGCTCTTCGCCGCCGTCTCCTCCCTTGTCAAGTGGTTGCCTCTATTCGAATCCGGGCAACTACAGCGGCATCTCTCTGGGCAGCGCGAAGGTATGTGCCTGATTTAGCTTGCTTTGTTTCAGGGAATCATACGTTTTCCATTTTACTGAGACGTTTGTTCCCTTTTATGTCTTCAGGGTGGCATCGAGACCTGCTCGGACCAAGCTGGCTGCCTAGACATCTTCATGGACAGCGGCACCTGCAAGACGGTGACGGGTTCGAATGCCTCCTGGCTATACTGTGAAGTATGTCTGTACTGGAGCAATGTCCGGGGCACGTGCGCCAAGTCTACTGGGGACACGGTCAGCCACGTGTGTATGGGCGACGAGTTCTACCCCGTGATTGCAACTGCCGGCGGTCAGCCTGCAGCCGGGAACACGCAGAAGCTGGACGGCTGGAGCAATGGAGCAGAGAGTAAGTGACTAGCATGTGCTTGCACCATGCACGGGGCGTTGCTTCCAGGTCCTCTTTGCGCTAAAAGCCATCATGCGCATGTGACTGCTACCTACTTTCCGCAGATCGCTACTGCCAGTGGGTCCGCTGGAACAGCAGCAACTTCGATACGGAGCTGGTCCACTTCACCGTCAAGGACGGCACTGGAGCCTGTCGCGATGGTAAGGAGGAGGGGAGCTCACTGACTCGAATGCATCGCCATGCATCTTGAACGTGCAACATCCAAGTCAAGGTAGTTTGCACAGATGGACCCCGGGCATGATGCACTAACATGCGCTACTCCATGACTTCCTGTCCCCCCTCCCTGAAACCCTGTGTGCACTGCAGCTCCGGGCCCGCTGCAGGTCACCCTCCAGGGGCTCACAGCTACTTGCCAGGCCCCCCGCGTCGTCAATAACACGCTGGCGGGCTGCGGGACTGGAGACCAGGCCAACGAATGTCTGTGGAGCTTCAATGTGCCACGACCTGGAACGTCTGCATTCAAGTGCGCGTCCTCCCCACCGTTACCACCTGTGCCGCCAAGTACGAACGCACTGCCACCCTCGCCACCGGTGCAGTCACCCTCGCCGCCACCGAGGCCGCCCAGCCCTCGCCCACCCTCGCCTTCACCTCCTAGCCCTCCACCGTCACCTCCTTCACCGAACAGCCCTCCACCACCCTCGCCTTCACGGCCAAGCCCTCCACCGCCATCTCCTTCACCGCCAAGCCCTCGCCCACCCTCGCCTTTACCACCCAGCCCTCCACCGCCATCTCCTTCACCGCCAAGCCCTTCACCACCATCGCCTTCACGGCCAAGCCCTCTACCGCCATCGCCTACTCCAGCCAGCCCTCGCCCTCCATCGCCTTTACCACCCAGCTCTTCGCCGCCGTCTCCTCCCTTGTCAAGCGGTTGCCGCTATTCGAATCCGGGCAACTACAGCAGCATCTCTCTGGGCAGCACGCAGGTGCGTGTCTGGATTAGCTTGCTTTGTTAAAGGGAATCATACGTTTTCCATTTTACTTAGACGTTTTATCTCTTTTATGTCTTCAGGGTGGCATCGAGACCTGCTCGGACCAAGCTGGCTGCCTAGACATCTTCATGGACAGCGGCACCTGCAAGACGGTGACGGGTTCGAATGCCTCCTGGCTATACTGTGAAGTATGTCTGTACTGGAGCAATGTCCGGGGCACGTGCGCCAAGACTACTGGGGACACGGTCAGCCACGTGTGTATGGGCGACGAGTTCTACCCGGTGATTGCAACTGCCGGCGGTCAGCCTGCAGCCGGGAACACGCAGAAGCTGGACGGCTGGAGCAATGGAGCAGAGAGTAAGTGACTAGCATGTGCTTGCACCATGCACGGGGCGTTGCTTCCAGGTCCTCTTTGCGCTAAAAGCCATCATGCGCATATGACTGCTACCTACTTTCCGCAGATCGCTACTGCCAGTGGGTCCGCTGGAACAGCAGCAACTTCGATACGGAGCTGGTCCACTTCACGGTCAAGGACGGCACTGGAGCCTGTCGCGATGGTAAGGAGGAGGGGAGCTCACTGACTCGAATGCATCGCAATGCATTTTGAACGTGCAACATCCAAGTCAAGGTAGTTTGCACAGATGGACCCCGGGCATGATGCACTAACATGCGCTACTCCATGACTTCCTGTCCCGCCTCCCTGAACCCCTGTGTGCGCTGCAGCTCCGGGCCCGCTGCAGGTCACCCTCCAGGGCCTCACAGCTACTTGCCAGGCCCCCCGGGTCGTCAATAACACGCTGGCGGGCTGCGGGACTGGAGACCAGGCCAACGAATGTCTGTGGAGCTTCAATGTGCCACGGCCTGGAACGTCTGCATTCAAGTGCGCGTCCTCCCCGCCGTTACCACCTGTGCCGCCAAGTACGAACGCACCGCCACCTCAGCTTTCCACTCCTGCGTCACCGTCACCTGTATCGCCCAGTCTAGCACCATCACCACCACCCAGCCTGCCCCGCGAAAACCCGCCTTCGCCTCAGCCAAAGCCGCCCCCACCGGCGCGGCCATACTCGGGCTCTGGGTGCTTTGTTGGCCCTGTCAAATACTGCAAGGTGGGTACGGCATTGTGCGGCACCAAGTTTTCTAAGATTGACATTTCGTAACGACGAACTCCAACACAGGCGCCCGAATGGGCCCCTCTTGCCTCACCTCAGACCGATAACTGGAACTGAAGGCTCAGGCCCATGTACACCCCTCCGGCCTAACTGACCATGTCCGCATGTTCCGTCCCTGCATATGTTTGTTCGGCAATTCTGGATGCGGCACATGGGAATGTGCTACAGGGAGGAAGTGACGACGGAGCCATCTACGGAAGCGGTCCAAGCAATGGATGGGTAGGTAGCCGGCTATAGGCAAACAAGGCTGGCGCGGCATGTAGATAGATAGACAGACAGACAGACACAGACAGACACAGACAGACAGACAGACAGACAGACAGACAGACAGACAGACAAATACAGACAGACAGACAGACAGACAGACAGACAGACAGACAGACAGATGCCACGCAACCAGTAGTAGGATATTTCCAGTGGTTTGCCGCCAGTACATGCTCTGATGTGCGCCACAATGTGCGACCGGTTGGTATGCACGCTACTTGCGCCAGGCGCTACAGATAACATTTGCTGCATGGGGTCCTGCTGCCTCCACTGCTAAGCTTCGGCTTGTGTGGGGGAAGAAGACTCCACTCTTTTCAACGGGGGTCCTTCTGCAAAGATCCTTGCCGCACTGGCTTGGAGAGAGGGCTGCATCACTGCCCATACGGTATTCCGCTTTACACCTTCCCTGTCCTCCCCTGTCATCGCCTTCCTGTCCTCGGTAGGTTGTCGCAGCGCTAGGAACCTCATGTATGGATGCTTACACCGGCTTGCCCCTGCCGTACGAGGTCACTTCGGCCTATTATCTGTCCGGTGATCAACCCAGCGTGCATACGGAGGCGCTTGTCGTCACTCCGGTCACGAAGCTCTTGCAGTTTACCGACCCGTCCCGCACGCCTTTACAAAGAGCGTACGGCATGGTTGGCGTGAATTGCAGCGGGGCACTTGACGGTAACCTGGCCGCGCTCACAGACAAGAAAATTGCCACAAGGTGTGTTGCCGCCGCTGTTGCTATTGCTACCTCTCCTGCTACTGCTGCGGCTTATCCTGTAGAGTAGCTATGCTTTCTGGGCACGTCTCCTGTTCGCATTCAGCTGTATTTTATATGTCGCCGGTTGCGGCTCTGGTGATCTTTGTGTGCCGTGATAATTGATTCCTTTTAAACACTTTGTGTGTGTGTGCATAATATGGACGCAGGCGGTATGTAACGAAGGTCTATGTATGTAACGAGCTTTTCCTCTGCACCTCGAACGCAACACGCATCGAGAGACGCAAACCCAAACCAAAATGTCCCGTGCACCGTCGTCCATCCCAACCGCAGGCTTACAGGTGTCCGCATGCTTTACGCCGATGCCAAGCTCTCGTCGTTGGTCGTCCTCTCCGTCTCGGTCCTCTCCAGCCTACCTGAAACCAGCCTACCACAGTGCCGAGATGCCGCCAGCAAAGTTGACGCAGTCTATGCAGCTCTTGCCACACGCGCTGCCTTAGTAGGCAAGGTTGATCTCTCGGCAGCAGGGTTACTAAACGCGACGATCATGTCTGCGGCCAGAAATACTTGCAACGCATCAGCGGAGGACGTGCTGGCTGCCGGCGCAATGGCACTGGCCAACCAGGCGGAGTTTATGTACCGCAGGCTGGTAGCGGAGCTGTTGGAAGATGGCACCATGTCGTCGCTGCTCTCGGCGCTGCCGCTTCATGCGCTGTCCGCGGCGACTCGTGTCGCGTATCTGGCACAGACGCGCTGTGGCGAGGTGCTTGCCGCTGTACGGCGCGGCGAAGACAGCGCTGCACAGCAGTTTGTGGAAGGTACCGTGGGATGTAATATTATATTATCGTATGATACCTTACCTGGGATGGAGCCGGCTGTTGATAAGCCGCCATGCGTTTACCGAGCGGTGTGCGGAACCTAACCCGGGTGATATGGACCAACATGCATGCTTATGGATCATATGGCTGCGAGTCGTTTCCGTCCTCCATGCTAACCTCCGTACAGCCGTCGGGTTATTCACCTTCACCGCATCCGCACCCGCTTGCCGCCTGCCAGTAAACAAGGCACGAAATGGAACGGTGTTTGTCCCCGCAGACCTTCCTCTGCTGCTTGCGGCCGCTCCAGTCAACCTCACCCTGATGGCACAGGGACTCGGCCTGTCCGAAGTCCCGCCACCATCCGATCTCTGGCTGCATCTGCGATCCTCCGTTGGGGACCTGGCAAGCTGCAAGGTGCGAAGTGGGACAGCAGCCGCCGTGCCATTGGAACCTGAACAAGCTGCCAGATCTCGCCTTTGCCTGCATTTCTGTCTGTCTTCCTGCCTGTCTGTTCGCTTGCCTGCCTGCCTGCCTGCCTGTCGACTTCTGCTCCATTTTGTCAGTATGTTGTCCGTATGTCTTTCGGTTTATTATTTTGGTTTATTATTGTGTATTATTGCGTTTGCTACTTTAGCTTTCTTGTTCTTTGATGTTCAAGGCTGTAGAGGAAAACGCACTGTTCCGGTAGAGGGTGCGTCCGCCAGACCACCAGGACTCTCGCCTCACAAAGACATCTGCCATGCACGATATGTTTTTCCAATCATTACCCCCTTTACTAGCTTCCGGCTTGCCTTGTGTCACTGCGCAGGTCGAAGCGACGTATCTGTACCCATACCAACGGACGAGCGCCGTCACTTCCACGAACGGCTCGGCGCTGCTTCCAGGAGCTTCCAGTGCCCTGGTAATAACTTGGGATGTGCTTTCAGTCGCAGCGGACAGACGTGGTTTTCGTTGGCCTGCTGCTCCCCTACTTCCCTTGGTCCCGCATTCTGTATGTTAGGCAGTGAAGCTGCTGGGTCGGGACTAACTGTCGCCTTTTGCAACCACGTAAGGTGGTACGCCAGCAATCGCCGCCACCAGGCCAAGCATCCTCGTCCCACTCTTTCTCCCGCCTTTCCTCATCGCCTGCTCTGCGCACGGCTGCTTTCCTGTCTAATCTCGCCATGCGCTCGCCATGCGCTTGCGTTCACTGACAGCAGCACTGCTGTATGGCTGCCTCTGCTCTCTGTCGCCACCACGCCTGGTGCAGGTAACGGTGCCTTCGGGTTGCAGTGACAGTGCATCATTGGCCAAGACGCGCACGTCGATGTCTGTTTTGGTGCCCCCAACCAGCAGCAAGGCCGTGGTCGACCAAGTAGCATGTCTGGCCACCAAGGCCTTCATCCAGGTCTCTGACGGCGAAGCGCCGCGTGACATCAGTGCGGACGATTACGCGCGCGCCTACCAGTGCCTGGGTGTCACGCTGCCTAGCGAGCTGGTCGGCACCACTAACTTCGTATCCCAGGAGTGGAAAGCAGACAGCGTGTTTGACGTGCGCGTGAAGCTTGCCAACGCACGACTGCAATGCGTCACAGAGCCCACCTCGCGCTTCATTAACGGTAAGTCCGCTTAGGGTATGCCTGTCCGCTTATGACCTGGCACGCCTGCATGTGCACTGGATTCCCCAGCACTCTAGCAACGGCATTGGATATTGGGTTTTCATTAGTTGTATCTCGTTACGAGGAAAATCCCGATGTTAGCAAACTCTGGATGAAGAGAGAGGGAGGGAATAGGGATTGTGGCGCTAAACGCACCGCAGATGTTGGGACACATTGGGACGTGGCCCTTGGTTGACAATACTACCGGCGATGTCCGCTGGTCACGTGATGGAGTTACTTCACCCCAACTCACAGAAGCGTTCCGCCACAATCACAGAAGCGTTCCGCCATAATCTCCTGCACAGGCCTCTCCGGTGAGGACGAGGACGACGTGTTCGACAAGTTGATGACGCGCTTGGCTCGCGATGTGCGTTCCAATACCGTCATGCTCAACAACAAGACCTACCTCGCGGGTGTGGTCCGCGACACGTGTGAGGAATCTCTGCGGGAGGCCGCCTCCCGGCAGCGCCGCCGGTTGCTTCAAATCGATCTCAGCACTGATGTGGTGAGTCGCTTGCACCCCTGCCTAGCCACGCTAGAAGGAACCGCTACCACACGAGGAAAAGCCGGGATCCATTCACCGTTGGCGCCATCACGATACTCAGGTTGCGCCACCATTTTCAGTTTAGAATCAATTACTGAGCTATCCTAGCGGAATTTTATTTGGACTCGAGGTTCCGGACATCAAGTAGTGTCGTCCATTTCTCGTGACGCGTTTCAGCCCACCAGGTCCCAAAAATTATATGCACCAAGGCTCATCCCGGCCCCAACTACAACCTCGCTCTTGCGCGAACCTTGTTTTCCCCTTCCATCTCGTGCCACCGATGCGCCGCAGCTGGAGGGCATGTTTTCGACCGTCGCCAGCACCGTGGCTGCCAGCGTGCAGTACCTGATGGACCTGGAGACGCAGCTGCTGGCCAACGTGTCGACGTCCTCCTCGTCCTCCAACTCCACCAACACCAACACCAACACATCCGCGATTACAAGGGCCGTGCTGACGAAGGCCACGCAGGTTGTGGTGGTGCAGACGACTGCCCTGGGCCCTGCGCTGGCGAACCTGGCATCGGAAGCCAGCTCGGGCAACACCCCCACCCTGGAGCTGCAATTCACAGGCGACGGCCTGCGTCAACAGGTGTGGATGTGGAGTCTGTACTTATCAGGGTTTCCTTCAATGCTTTGAACAGCGTGCGTGGGAACAGTGTGCGTGGGACTAGGCACATAACACGTTTTGTGTACTCTTGCGTCGTCTGCATTATTGCACCCTGTCGTTTTGTGTCGTTTCGTGTTTGCTTTGCCAAATTTTAGCGAACGTCCCTTAAAATGCTACAGCCATGATGGATAATTGAACAGCCCTTGGTAAGGCAACGCTTCCCGGGGCTCTGTCGCCATGATGTTGCATGTTGGTCACGTATCTAAGCAAACTGCGGTCACGCGTGTTTGTGTACTTCCTCGGGCCGCAGATCGATGCCGTACAAGTGCCTGTGCCGGCGACCCCCGCTGGCGCTCCAGAAGGCGATGGCCGGGGGGTTGGCAGTCAGAGCGGCGGGACCGACACGGAGGCGGGTACTGCCGCAGGCGGTAGCGGCAGCCCCTCAACCAGCAGTCAAGATGGCAGAAGCCGCTCCAAGGGCGTCCCCATTGGCCTCATCGCCGGCATCGTCGCCGGCGGCGTTGTTGCTGCCATTCTTGCTGTCTACGTCGCTGTCCGCATGTCCAAGCGATCAAAGGCCTCAAATGACTTCCAAGAGCAGCAGGCCGACAGCGGTGAAATGCAAGACCCCGCCGAGGCAGACTACATGTCCGAGGAGGCACCCGGTGAAGGCGGCCAGCCTTCCGCCGTCATGGCCATACCCGAAGCCCTGCAGCGTCTGCAGGTCTCCATTGTGCCGCCGCTGCCTCCCAGCAAGCTGAGATGGCGTGTAGCAACTGCTGCCGCTGCCGCCGGCGGGGATGCGTCCGGCGCAGGTCCATCCAGCTTCTCCCCACGCAACGTCCTGTCCAGCCGCGAAGGCTCCGTACACTCTCCCGTACATGACGATCTGGACGTGGAGCAACTTGAGTTTAAGCGCTCCCCCAGCGCGCCACTGCGGGACGACCTTTCAACCGTGCAACGCGGCGAGTCCATGGCGGCATTGCCGGGGCAGGTGGGCCGCTTGCCGCGCCGCGTGACAGTGTCCGGTACATACGAGCGGAGTGCATTGGCAGCGGAAATGGTGTCCGGCATCGCTGCCGCGCGCGACATGTCCGTACCCAACTCTCCTGCATCGGTGCGGTCGGCCCTCGCACCTCGAATGTCACGGCAACCCAGCGGCGCGGGCGATATTGCGCTGCCACCACCACCGCCGCTGGGGATGCCGCGGCGCGTGACGCTGTCGGGCGCGGAAGGTGCAGCGCAGCTGGAGGGCGCGGAGCGTCCGCCGCGACCTGGTGGTCCACGCTCCGACTCGATGCGCCGGCTTAACACCGTCAGTGCAAACATACCCCACCGCCTGTCACAGCGAAATCTCGTCGAGCTACCTGACGCTCCCAACACCGTCGACGAGCCGCAGCGCCGCGTGACGGTCTCGGGAGTTGAGGGGCCCACTCAAGGCGCTGCTGCCGCTGCTGGCCGCTCATTCTTGACAGCTCCACGCTGGTCTGTCCAGCGAATGAACGTGGCAGCGATGGCGGCGGCCGAGCCGGATCTGCCTGTCACCAGACTCAGCAACTCTGGGGACGCGAATTCCAGCCCGTCCTCCTCAAGGCGCGTCACAGGCGCTGGTGATGCTTCTCGGCAACCGTCGCGGCAGGCGTCTCGGCAGGTGTCCCGCCAGCCTTCTGAGGACGGGGGGGCAAGCCGCTGGCTGCCGCAACCTCGTGTGATAATGTTGATGCGGCCCCGCTCTGGACTCATTGTCCCTGAGCCCGCCCCAACCTCTCCAGAGCTGCCGTGAGGTGCTCGATGGATGCTAGGCGGCCGGAGTCGCAAGAGCTGTAAAGAACCATTACTTTTCGTTATCGGACCGCCAAAGTTTGTATGAAATCTATGCGGCTTAAATTATCGAATGCTTTATGCAAGGTATCGAATGCTTTCTGCGAGGTAACTCGACTTCCGAGGCACGCGGATGTGATGTTTCATCTGACTAAGGAGGAGTTTTATTTTTTCCTAGGGACTTCACTTGCATTTGTCTCTCCTGGCTGTACCGTGTTCTTTGAGCATGTATTCCAGCCAAAACTAGAAATTTGTTTGGCCGTCTAGGTAAAGTGTCGGCCTTTTCTCCGATGAGCGTCTTTTCGTATTATTATATTAAACGCAGCGGTCATAATGCTTAAGAGACGTTCCTGAGTGCATCTTTTTTTATGTGTCATGATGTTTTCCTGATATTGTACCCCCGGCCGCCGGCCGGTGCATTTTCCTGGCCAGCTCGGGCTCATCATACGGTGGCTTACGAGCTCGGTCGCCGCCTCCCTTGGCATGCGCCGCGGCAGGCCTGCCGAAGGCCTGGCACATACCTTGGTGCATGCATCGTATTCTGAGTTTCGGATTTTTTTCCATGTCAAGCTTTCCTGCTTGTCAAGCAGAAGGATAACTCAGCAATGAGTTTCGCATAACTGTCAGTCTGTAGTAGCACTCATGTTGCAGCGTCACGGAGCCTAGTTTAAGCAAGGAAAGCTGGATAAAGCGTGTCCATGGCCATGCACACACGCATAGAAGGCTATCTGTTTTCCTGGTGGTAGTAGTCATGAGGTTGATTGCGAGTGTAGACCGAACAGCATCTCTCACCCTGAAGGCCCTACGCGTGCACCCTACAAGTGCGGCGTCGAAATCCTTGCGCACCCCATTCCTTTGGGCCCAGCACGTCGGCACCCCATTAACACGACAATAATCACAAGCATCCTTCCGCCCTGTATCACCGTTAGCGCATCCTAGCATTTTTTCTTGTACACCCTCATCTGGGCCGGCTCGGCACATATGCAGCATCGCTTTGCGTTTTGCGTGGGTCAAGAGTCGCGGGTCTGGTCGCCGTCTGGCAGACCCAGCAACGTCGTTGTTAGTTAGTCATATCATCAGGTGCATATCGAAATGTGTTGTTTGAGACTTGTTGATTAATTGTTTGACGCCCGGAGGGCTGTGCACGCTGTTTCCTAAGAGTGTCACGACAAGTTTTACAATGTTTTACCAAGTTTTACTTTTTAACGCCCAACTATTTTTCCATGCCGCATCAATGAAGTAGATTGATAGAAATCTTTATTGGCGTAGGCATTTGTTGGGCGAATTTTTTCTCGCCGCCGTTATTAGTTGTTGATGAGCTGTAGTTGCGAGCATGGCGAGCGCACACGAGTACATTACTCCCTTACTATTTACGTTCATGACTTGAGCTCTCGAAGTTGTTAGTTTCTTGCCGGTTTAGCCTCGTCATCACAATATCCCTCCCCGCCACGCATTCCTGCTTAAGTGACTTTAATTGGCCCTTATAGGAAAGTAGGGACAATGCTCCGGGACGCATTCTACTCGTTTTTACCCCACCGGCGAATCTCTAATCCCACTTGTCACTAGGGGAAATTTCTGCCACTCAGTTGTAAATTGTTCGTCCACTGCGTCCGTTGCCACCTGTTGCCACTTTTCACTATTTGTTTGCTGTTTTCATGCGAAGACTACGTTACAAACAAGTACCTGCACGCAAGGAAAGAACGTCTTCGTGAAAGGGTAGGGCCGGGTGAGGGCACACTACCACGAAGCGGATCACCAAGGCCTACAGACCAACCGCTTCACGGCAGCACCCAAACGTAGCTACGAACAACCCGAATTAGCCAACACTGTCGCGTGCCGCGACACAAGAGCCACACTGGCTCGTACGCCATACGGCAAAGACACTCCGTATTCGCAGAAAACCTTAGTTTTCAACGCTTCACGTAGAAAACTGTCAGTTAGTTTAAGGAAAGGAAAGGCAGCGAATCAGTATCCGCGATAAATTCTACAAGGAAGCGCACCTGCCCGAGGCACTGCCCAGCCCGCAAGTCCTCGCCCTAGGGCAGCAACAAGGCCACCGGATCCGCAGGCCTATGGGCTCTCGATGCAGGTGCAAGCCGGATGATTTTATCGCCCGTTGGCCCTGCTTCGACGGCTGTTAGATTCACATATATCTTTACTGTCAGGGCGGACACTTGGGTTTCGGAAGCAGGGGCGCAGAGGTACACGAGAGGCACTTGGACAATCCTGGGGTCCCCAGGACAGGGGGCGCTCCCCCCCGGGAGGCGCTTCATGCCGAGTGCTCCTGCCCCCAAGCATGTGCTCCGTACTAAGGAGGTGTACACTGCAAGACACGGTACGCGGCTTTCTCGTTCACTCCACAGATCACTGACCACGGCAAGTCAACGGAAAGGGGAGCCAAACCATAAGGTCCGAACCGTGGCCTCAGCTTCCCAGTTTAAGAAAATACTCGAAAGTGCGCCCCCTCATCCTCTCTCGCAGGCTTCCTGGTTACATCGCGCTATAGCATTCGACGCAGGATATCGTTGGCGCTGGTGAGGAACCGACAGCCATTTAGCCCCGGACCGCTCCGGTCACCTCTCATGTAGTTGAAAGCTCCGGCATGCGGCGTTAACCCATCAGCGCTGACCTAGTAGGCACGCGCTTCAGCCCGCCAACCCCAGGCTCCGCAGCACCTGCTATACCGCACCTCCCACAGCCATCACATAGGCCATGGTCCGGGCCTCTGCGATCCCTCAAAACAACAAAGCGGCCAAACAAAGCCACATCGCCAGCCGCCTTGTTGGGTCCCCAACAAAGCGGCCTCGCCAGCCGCCACTCCTAGCCACGCGGGAAAACACTCACGCGCACCTCAGCATGCCCCTATGTGCACACAGTACTTGCCCACACTACCCGCAGCCAGTCCGCCGCCGCCGCGCGCGCTCTGCATATATGCTTACCAACCAGCAGATACATACACTGCCATTCGCCCTTTTTCCGTCTTGATATAAACAAACGAACTAACGAAAAACGAGCAAGGTGCCGAGCTCTGCGTATCCTCACCTGCAATCTCAAAGGCCAACCCTGATACTCCAGGCATTATCTGGTCCAACAACCTCTGTATACACGCCACTACCACCACCCTCCCTCATTCACATCATCCTCGTTCTCGTCCTCAACCGAAAGAAAGCATTTCAGCATTGCTACGCTCTCGCCTTCGCCGCTTCGATGCCAGCATGCTGCCCTGCATGGTGGCTCAAACACACCAGCACAGCACAACACAGCATAGCGCAGCCCCACACCGTTCTGGGCACTGTACGGGAGCCGCGGGGCCGGTGGTTGGCTCCCCCGCAGGATACTCCTCCGTTACCTCACACACCACCACCGCCACCACCACGATGCACCAGTGTACACGCGAATGCATGGCAAGGGGCCAACCACTTGCTCTATTTCGTCATTATGGCTACAATCTCCAGCTGCTGGCTGCAAGCCAGCTCGTCGGCGCAGCCCGGCTGCGGCGCCGCAATGCGCCAATGCCGTACCTCCAGGCCGATACTGCACATGGACGACAGCACGGCAGCGGGGTTGAGGGAGTCTAGCAGCGGCACCTGCACGCACAGCCGGGCGCCTGGCGCCAGCACCGGCAGCAGCGAACGCAGCGACCCGTGCGTCCACCAGCTGGCCCGCTGCGTGGCGCTCATGTGGGAGCCTGCATGCACGGGTGAGTAAGGCGATAAAAGAGGGAGCGATGAGGGGATTATGACAGTGTCAAGAGGAGGGCGACGGCAGCAGTGCAAAGGGGAGGAAAGCGGTCCTAGCCCAATCGAAATCTACACCCAACCGGGCGCGAACATGTGCTCAAGGCACGAAAAGCGCGGAGACCCACCAGGGCCTTGGCTGCAGGATTTCCCTGTGCAGGCCGCTGGGCATTAGCATATTACAGCTGTTACGTGTTTTAGGCTTCAGATGAACCTAAAAGACAAGCGAGCACACATGCGCATGTGGCGTATTGTTTGGAGAAAAATTCGGACAGGATGATGTGCTCCCCAGGGATAAGGGCACCTCAGTTTTGAGGCCAACTAGATAAAAATGGATGAAGACCAGGTCAGCTGGCAGCCTAGAGCGGGGCTGGAACGCCGAGTACGGTCCACAGTGTTCGTCATCCCCATCCCTGACATCTTCCCACTCCCCGCCTTGATGTATGTACGAGGGGCTCTCACCGTCCAGCAGTACACAATCGAAGCCGCCCTCGGGGGCCTCAGTCAGGACGTCGTCCAGGCAGCCGGGACCCAGAGCAGCGCCGGAGAAGGGTGTTGCGCGCAGGCCGCGCTTCCGGGCCGCCTCCACGTCCGCATCCACGGCCCACACCTGCTCACGCCCACCACCAGCCCGCACAGCAACATCATCACACAGTAACATATAGCAACACAAGGAAAAAGGCATAAACCACCACGGCATGACACGGGGCGACGCGAGACAGACGATACATGCAACGCGGCCGACTCAGTGGACCAGGCAGGGATTGCGTAAGGACGAAGCAACGACGTGCGCTGCGGGGCGGGCTGACCAAGAGGGGATGGAGGTAGAGGCATGAACACCATCTCTTGGCTGATCCCCTCCTCTCCCCTCCCCTCCCCTCCCCTCCCCTCCCCTCCCCTCCCCTCCCCTCCCCTCACCCCAACCTCGCGGCACAATGTGAACCACTCCACTCGCCTGCAGCCCCTGGCTGGCCAGCAGCTTGGTAAGCGCCCCGGCACCGCAGAACACGTGCAGCAGCTGGTCGCCCCACTCTGCGTCTTGGCAGCTGGCCAGTCCGCCCGCCGCACGGCCCATGCGGGGGAAGGAACAAGGCGCACAGCGGATAACGCCCAGCGCTGCCAGCCAGTCCAGATAGTCCAGACCGGGGGCAGGGGCACCTGGCGAGAAGGAGAGTCGTGCAGAGGGTGAAAGAAGGCAGTGCAAGACGGGAAAACGAGCTAAAGTAAAAGAGGAGTGAATGGTGTGTGAGAGGGGTAAGGAAGGGAGGTGCAGGGAAGCAAGAGACTGAAAAACGGACCAGAGGTGGCCGATGGCGAAGGGATCGAGCCCCAAACAAAGGGAGGGGTTGAAGAGAGGGACGGGTTTCGAGGGGGAGTTGCCGTTGTTTCAGAGGCTGTGAGGTCCGGCTGGCGCGGTGGCGTGCAGGTCCGGGAGGCCTCTTAACTTAATCAGTCGGTTCCGAGGAATCGCACCCAGCCACCCAGCAATGCATCCGTCACACACTTACCCTCTGCGCCGATCACCTCGCCCGCTGCCAGCCGCGCTGGCCAGCCCAGCGCCACCCCCGCCGCCTGAGAGCCCTTCTCCCCAGCCAATGCCAGCCGCTCCGCCAGCTCGCCGAGGCCCCCCACAGAGAAAGTGGCCACTGCGCCCGGCGGGGGCTGCACTACGGTGCCCGGCTTCTCATTGCCCCCACCTGATGGGAGGCGGGGCCGGGGGCGGGAGCCGCGTGGAGTGGAGCGGAGTAGGGGCTGGGTAAAGCGGATATGCACAAAAACAGAACTAGCCGTGCAGTTGGGTTGACATCGGTAGGGTCACGAAAGGAGGCGGGGGACCAGGCGCGACCCAACCCCAGGAGGCCACCAGGGGGCCCCCTTCAGCAGGTGGACTCTGAGGGTGAACTGCGGATGTCCACGAAGACGTAAACCCAGCCAAAAGCTGAGATTAAGGGGACAAAAAAAACCCAGCCGCATTAGGGACTGAGGGTGAGAGGCATTCCCGTGCGGACGTCGAGGGTTGAATTTGCAGAGGGTCATTTTACGTGGTGTGGGCGCTGTTGTCCCATCAGCATGTCCGATGGAAAGTTGTGAGGAGTAGAATGCGGGAGTAGCAAGTTTGCAGCAGCACAGGGATCCGACTGATTTGCCCTAGCGCGATAGGTGGCAGCGCATTGCTCCGTATGGTGGGCGAGCTGCATGGGCGGAGATCCCCAATAATACTGTTGCTGCATTGCTCCCGCTGCAGCACCAGAGAGCCCGCTTCGACGGGTGTGGCTGCTAGGCCGGGCAGTAGAACAGTAGGCCATAGGACCGTCACTTACCAGCAAAAACAATACACTGCTAATATACGAATGCAGCACGAGCCAGCCAGGTATCCAATCACCCAGTCACCCATCCATGTCAACCGTTATGCATGCATGCGTACATACATACACACATGCCCGCGGATATTAGCTAGCCACCCAATCAGTCAACCAAGACCCACTCAGCTCCTACACCGCTGCACAGCGACTTGCCTGCGATAAGACAGCTGGCCGCTCCGCTGGCATTACCGCACTCCACGTCCTCAAACGAATCCCCCACCATCAGCATGTCGGCCGGATTTATGCCCCACGCCTGTGCGTTGAGTCATCGGAATGACAATGGACCGTTACATTTCATGCATTTCGGCAAAATGGATGGGCTGCAGGTAAATCACAAACTGCAACAGCAAACCAGGACAGGGTGTAACCGACGGTGCTTCGTGTTCGCTCTTCCTTCCTCTACCCTAGGTAGGTGACGCCTTCCAAACCCCACAGGTGGTCAAGTTGCACACTCCTCCCTCCTTACCTCTTTTCCACCACCCGAATCCAACCCAGGTGCTCTCTCCCTTGTAAGGAGTCCCCACTCCCACCAACTAACCCCTCAGCCAACCGAACCCTCAACCAACCCACCTGCGCCACGTGAACCAGCAGCCGTCTGTCGGGTTTCACGTACTTGAACTCGCGTGTAAGCACTTGCGAAAACAGCCCGGACCACTCGGGCCCTATGATGCGGAAGAAAGCGGCCACGCTGTCCGATGTGTTTCGTGTCACCAGCGCCACAGGCACCTGCATCCACGGGTTGGAAGGGAATTAAGAAAAATCCGCTTTAAAAGCCGCATCTACACGCCATCACAGCCCCACCTGCCCAACCCATGCCTAGTTTGCCTCGCTCTAACTACCAACTAATAAACCAACCAACCAACCAATCAACGAACCAATCACCCAACTAGCCAGTGGTGATCTACCCTCCTGCCGTACGTAAAGCCTCTCCCTTGCTTCCCTCCCTACCTTGTGGTCCTTAATCAGCTGTAGCAGCTGCAGCAGTCCGGGTTTGGCACTCACGGCCCTGGCTGCCTGCTCCTCGATTTGCAGGATGGTGGTCATAGCAGCCAGGATACGGGAGTCCTGGCCCCAGGACTCCATCACGGTGAATAGGTCGCCCACGGGAATGCCTGCAGGGCCCAGGGCCGGGGCCGGGGGGTTAGGGATTGCGATAAGGCGAAAGAATCAGGAGGCTGGACAATTTTTGAGGCGTTCCAGGCGCGTGACAGGGAGCTATGGTCCCTTATGGAACCAAGCGGATCTTGATTCACTCTGCCGCGCTCGGGCAGCGGGATTCTCAGGCCCCAATGTTGGCCTCATGCCATCGTGGAAAGCTGCTTTGTGCCTTACAGAATCGGTGCGCCGCTATAGCCCCAGAATGGCACAAGCAACGAGCGGGCAGGTACGGCTGTCTCACGGCATGAAGGACATCGGAAGCTTGGCGAAAGAAGTGGCTCTGCATGATTTTTCTGGCTAATGGATTATCCGGGAGTAGTGGGAGCCCAAGGGATGGATAAAGGCGCCAGAGCGCACGGAGTTGCCGTGGCGCACGGATTATGGGTGTGCAAGAACGCACCTGTCCTAGCGCGCATGTCCGCAAAGTCGATGTGTGCCTGCGCGTGGGTTTAAGCATATGGAAATGGGCGCTGATCTATTGCGTCTTCTTGGGCATCCTCCCCCAGGGCCTACCTCGGTCAAAGTCCCATCCATGTCTGCACAGCTTGGGAGAAAGCCAGATACGAGGTGGTTGAGCAAGATTCGTTAAGATTTCGACTCATGATATTAGGTTAGATCAAACGCGCCTTATTACGCGATAAGGGCTACAAAAACGGGCTGCCTCAAGGACGATGCGTACTGTAAGTGTTGGTTTGGGCGGTCGCTTACCAAAGACAATAGCTTTGTAGAACAAAGAGCGCGGCGTCGCTGACTGCTCAGGGATGACTGCTGTTTGCTGCGTCACGGTTTGCGTCGCCGCTCGCGCAATCGTGCGGCGACGACTATGAAGGCCATGGCCGACACGCTGCCCAAGCGGACACCGACGAAGCTGCATTGCATGAATATTTACAAATGCAATACTGTAACTACAATTTACCGTGCACTAGGATCTAGTACTCGGGCATAGGATAAGAAACGCTTGCTCAAGTTCGCTCGTCAGTTGTCGCTGCAACGCTTGTTGCATATTCAAATACCTACGGAGTTCAGAATGCCCATTGCGAGCTGACGCTAAATTGGCAAATTGCAGTTATCGCCTCCATATCCCCTGCAGTACTAACGACCACGGCTCTATCTCCACCTTTCTCTGGCGCAAAGACAATTTCCGCCTTCGTCTCCAAGCCAAATCCCCAGGAAACCTTGAAACGATCATGTCAGGTCTGTGCTGATTCTAATGCAGGTACTAACCTCTACCAGGAAAGTGTGATCGACCAGGTAGGGCGTCGGAAGTTCGTTGGTGAGAGTTGGGTGACGGTTGGAAAGCATGTGCACGTAGTTCGCTTAGCACATTCTACTCAGCATTTTGATATGTTTGCAGGTCCACTTCTGTCTGTGCGTGTCTTGCAGTAAAGGCTAGGAGTGAAGGCAACTGGAGGTGTGCAAGCGTGCCGATAACATTGGAAAGCCAATGTATCCGGACGCTGCTTTGAGGCAGTGAGGCCCGAGGAGACTCATTTTGGGTTTTGGTAAGCCCGAACAGGACAGGCACTAAGGCTGACAGCGAAAAGGGAGGGGCAAGATAAGCGAGGAGCTGGCCATTTGCAATACCATAACACCCAATCCAACTAGCATCGTACCATGGACAAACGCCCCTGCAGAAACCCGATGAGGATTTACCAGTACCGCAACATTAGATTTGTGCTAGTTCAACCTCGTCTGTCCAATCTTTAAGCAGTCCACGGGACCACTGGCTTGCTGTAGGAAAGCAATAGCGTTCGCGCGCAGTGTGAGCTACCTTCCTAACCCTCACTGAGCGTCCTCCTCATGATTTACCGCCGTTATGCCTCAGTAGGAGTTAGTTGAACGCGGTGTCCTTTTATCTATGGGTTGCAGCTTACCTTCCAAAAAATGTTGAGTCATGCGGTCTGTACCGACAGTTCCCTAATGAGCATGAGCACAATTTCGACTTTACCTATCACCATCTTAATGTCGGTTGCGCTTCAGTTTCTGTCGGCTTCTAAATTGGCGTCGTCTCTCGGCTCTGACTCGCATAGCCACGGCGCACAGCCACTTTGGCGATGGTAATGACGACCCGGGGTCCAAATGAATCTCCCCGCTTTCGTCGGAATGTGTTCTTTTGCCGGCCACTGAAGTGCTGGACACCTGACAGGAGAGGCTCGGCTAGCGCCCTTTGATGCCTCAGGCACTTCGGTGCTGCCTGTACCGTAAGGGAGGTGACAGCGAACCCCTACTTCGCTGGCTGATCCCGCGTCTCCCTGGCTGGCTTGCTGCCTGGGGGCAGTAACCTGCGCAAATCTACATCCTTTTCACACGTCTCATCCATTGCCAGGCGCGCATTTGCTCTGCAGCGTCGCTAACGCCCCACAGCACCTCCACTCCCCAGGCAGGCACCAATCATCTCATGAAAAGCAGCCGAGGGCCACACCCATCCACAGGAAAACAGCACCAGAACAAACAGAATGTAAATCAACATCATCTTCTGATGCAATCTTTGGTGGCCACAGGTAAAATGCGCAGGCCAGTCACCAATTATTCTTTCCTTGCGGTAGCCCTGGCCCTGATGTGGCCACCATGGATAGCACCGCTAAACAGAATTGCATGCCGTCTGTTGCCTTGGCTAACTTTAGCACTCCTCAGGCCGCACCGAACCGGTATATCACCACGAGAACGGCTGCGGATACACATCATGGAAAGGACGGAACGGTAAATTCTTCGGGAGTACAAACAAAACATCATTATCGCCCAGCATATTGCACAGAGCATCTAAACTGCAGGGGGACCACGCACACACAGGCACATGCTTGCACCCGGCGGCAAACACCGCCAGGACAGCAGGGTGCCAGAGCACAGGAAGCACAGGAGGCTCCATAGTACAAAAATGCACTACAGAAGGATACGACAGCAGCAGCCAAACGGCCTCCAAGCCAACTGCCGACGGGTTGACCGTTTGACGCCGATGAGAACATGGCCATCGAGACAGACATACATGCGAACGCACAAGGCCGACGGCAGGCGCACACGCTCATCCATTCCCCCACACAAAGCAAACCCAAACAAACTAACGAAACAAGCAGCAGCGTAACGAAACAGTGCTGGCGCAATTGTAACACGCAAAGGCAAAGCGACGGAAAAGACACCATCGCTGACCGTATGTGTGCGGGGGGAATGAGCCGTGCCCATAACACCTCTGCAGGCCCCCCTCTACCGTCTCAGCGCCGAAGGTATTTAACACAGAACACACACGCACACAGAAATGCCACTTTCAAAATTGCACAGCCAAGAGATCAGAGCGCCTCTCGCAAGAGAAAGAGTCCCTGCCCTCTCCTCATGTCACATCTGTCATGGTGTCGAGTCGACGTCGCCCAACCTCCCGCACCGCCTTAAGCACGCTCGCGGCGACCGTTCCCCAAGAGTGCGGCACAGGACCGAACACGCACGTGCATATCAAGATTTCAGTCCGAGGCGCTTTAGAGCGCATGCATGCTCCCGTGCTCCCATGCATTGCTCCTGCACCGCCGCTGCCCCCTTCAGAGCCACCTCCAAGGGGTTGTACAAGTAAGCCGCGTTGCTTCGGCCTTTCCATGCACCCACTCACTATCCTTTCCCCCGCCCCCGCAGCCGTGCTTCCCTGCAACAGGCAGCAGGCACCACAACTCGCGTCCATTCCAGGTCTAGCAATCCCCCTTCCTCCTTCCATCGCGCTAAAAGCCAATGCAGCCTCTGCCCCCTCCTTTGTCGGTAACCACGAGTGCAATGCCGATTACCGGAAAGCCGCACGACCGGCCGGGTCTCCACACCACAACTCCCTGCTGCCCAGCATGCCCTACTGGGCATCATAATGCCGAATCACCCACCAGGCAGCGAGTAACGACAGGGCCGCCATGTGCCGTCCTACCGCCCTCTTGCCCCACAGGGTGGTCAAGGGCCTGGCGCTCACACGTCCGCGATTTAGTGCCGCGGTGGAGGAGACCAGCGCCAATTTGTAGGCAGCGCAGACAGACAGACAGGTGACACCGTTGCAAAAGCCGCGGGTGTGGTCCCAGTCAACCACTCCAGCCCTTCCGGTGCAAGGCAATCATATGCCCGTCGTCACGGCACATCAGGGGGGGCATTCGGAAACCCGGCGCCGCAATTGCACATGCCGAGTGAGTTGGAGCGTGATATTGTTGTGCTTTTAAGTTATAAGAAAAGGCAAAACAAAACGGAAAACGGTCCTGATTGATACCAATACGATACCCATAAGCGACGGGTCTCTCAATAGGCACCCCATCCCAGCGCCAAGACTGCCGGGCCTGACCTGACAATCCCGATCTTAGCCATTTCCCCGGGTCCTGCGTGTTCGCATCAGGTACGACTCCCTAATCAGCAGCACGTCGCAGCGGTGAGCCGCGCATGGCGCCGCACATACGAAATGTAATCTGGCAAGACATCGTCGGCCCTGCACGGTGCGCACGGGACCAGAGGTCGCATCCGTCCCCGCACTCTGTACGGGGTTGTTCACAGCATACATATATCCTCTCTAGAGGGACATGGCGACCCGAACCAACAGACCATTACCACCACCAGCATCCGCACATGACCTTTCGTTGGATTGACCACAAAAACTTAGCACCAGCACAACGGCCGCCATCATTAACTAGCACCGAGCAGTAACCACGGATACGCCATACAAGGGAGGACGATCGCTGCCAGAGGGTGATGGTCAACTGCATCCAAAGACACCCCTCACCATCACCTCCTGGAACTACGCACCCCTCCGGCGAGCGCTACCGCCCCCACATCACACGCATGCCTCACCCGCACCGCCAAACAACAACAACGACTATCACACGATAGGCTGCCCATCCCCTGCCCTCCTCCATAATCTAGCTATCCCCAGCAACAGCCACATCTCTCCTCTCCTTTCCTACCCGCTTAGCAGAACCTCAGTGGGTTAATACTTAAAAAGCTGGCCCCCACTATTAATGGCCCACACGCCTCATCCATCCCCACGGCCCACAGCTCCCACACGACTTCCTTTTCCCCCTTGCCTTTCCAAACCCCACGTCACCATATCCCAATCCCGTCACTCGCTTACGATGGCCCAATGAGAATGAAGCCCGTTAACAGCTTAGCAATATCATCTCTTCTCATCATACAATGCAGTTCCTAATCCTTTGACAAGGTGCCTTGTTCCATGTCAGGGCAGGCAACACCTGAAATCAATTGCGGTTCATCTCCCTTCGCCACTGGCAGCTTACAAGACCCACGTCGCACCCCAGCGCTTGCAGTGGGCGAGGCGAGGGGCCAGTGCACAATGTGGCAACCAGCCCTTCCCAGCCCTTACCGCGAAGGGCTGGAGGACGCACAGCCCGGGGCACGAGCCATCGCCGTGGCCAGTGCCCCAATCACCATTCCACCACGGCTTCAACAACCCCGATAACCCAACCGATAAACCCAACGCACATACGAGTTCAGACCCAAAGGCCCCCTGACCGGCGCTTCACATTACAGCCAAGTAGCCGCATGAGAGGATTGGTAAAAAGTAGCCCTGGTGC